AATCTATAATGTTCCCTTAAAACATTTAGGTTTTTGTTATTACTAAATGTGGTCCTACAAAAATATAAAAAATGTTAACTTTAATCTTGACTCATGAGTACAAACCCATCTCATAATTAAGAGTCCATGTTGATAATGGAGTAATAATAAACCCTGTAATTCAGACAACCTCAAACAAAAATTTAGACTATGCAGTTATTATATATTCATATCGTGGATATTATTTAGTAAACAACAATGTAACTGAAATGAATGTGTCAAAAATACTGACTTTTTGTCAGTATTCATTTTACCACCACATAGCAGCAGCTGCATCCATCCACCCATCCATTATCTTTACCTGCTTCTTCCTTTATGGGTCGTAGGGTTCACTGGTGCCCACATCCAGCCGTCACTGTGCGAGAGGCCAGGTACACTCTGGACAGGTCGCAAGTCCATCACATACTGACATTAACTAGTCAGAAAATTTATAATAATTAAACCACAATTTTACAACCTTGATATTGTTTGGTTACAGTAAATTAATTTAAAACCTGAGTGAAATGGCCCCTCGGGGTCAAGGGGGAGTCTTAGCCTCGTGTGGAGGAGTTTAGTATCTGGTCGTCTTGTTCACGAGTAATGGTAGGATGGCGCAAACAATGGATCCATAGATCAGGGCCTCACCTTCAGTAATAAAACTGTTGCTTCGGTCAGTCGTAGTGAAAAAAGAATTGAGTGAGTCAAAATATAAAACTCGATGTACTGGTCTGTCTACATTCCAACGTTCGCCTATGGTCATGAGGACTGGATCATGACCGAAAGAACGAGATCCCGGCTACAAGTGGCTGAAATGAGCTTCCTTTGCAGGGTGGCCTGGCTCAGCCTTAGAGATAAGGTGAGGAGCTCCATCATCTGTGGAGGAGCTTGGAGTAGAGTCGCTGCTCCTTCTCATAGAAAGGAGTCATTTGAGGTGGTTCATCTTATAAGGATGCCTGGGAAGAATCCCTGGGGCCGTCTTAAAACTTGCTCATGGGATTAAATTTCCTCTTTGGCCTGAGAATGCTTTGGGATCCCCCCAGGAGGAGCTGGAAAATGATAAAAGTTGTGGATGTATGTGAGGATAGTGTATCACAGACGGTTTCAGACATGGCTGTGATGCAAATTAATGTGTAAAAGTTTCCACCAAAGACATATGAGCCAATCTGTTTTCTTTAATAACAGTAAAGGAGCATAAGAAGGAGTGGAAAAGGGCGAAACTCATCAAACAGTTAGAAAAGCGGAAACAGCAAGAAGCTGCAGAGAACACAAAAGTTGAAGAAAATCGGAGCAGTAAAGGTAAAATAATCATGTCCAGATGACATGATTCAACCTTTTTGTTGTTATATACCTGGATGACTGAGAAAACAAACTTTGTGTAAAATAATCATTGTTTACTCATCGTTTGTTGTAATGCTGTTACTTTAGAGAAGTGTGACTTGTTTTTGTTGTTTTGTTATTTTAGGTCGATCTTATACGGTGAGTGTAGCACTCCCTGGCTCTGTCCTGGACAACGCTCAGTCCCCAGAGCTCCGAACTTACCTGGCAGGACAGATCGCTCGAGCCTGCGTCGTGTTCTGTGTTGATGAAATCGTTGTGTTTGACGAGCAAGGGGAAGACATCAAGTACGGTGTTGAGCACATCCAACCTAATGCTTAGTCTGCAGGCCATGAGAAGGCAGAGCGATCTAGCTTGTTGTTGTCTTTCCAGGAGCATCGAAGGTGAATTTAAAGGTGTTGGGAAGAAGGGCCATGCTTGTATTCAGCTTGCCAGAATACTCCAGTACATGGAGTGTCCACAGTAAGCACACAGGCAGTTAAATCAATATCAATGCACCTCATCACATTGAGATTAAGGCGTCTTTTCTCCTCCAGGTATCTGCGCAAATGGTTTTTCCCAGTTCATAAAGATCTACAATATGCAGGTAATTTGAAACGGTCAACAACAACAAAATAAAATAAGCCTGTGCCTCCTGAGGCGGTGGCCTCAGTCACCTCTGTCTCTCTTGGACGGGCTATACTGAAAATGCAATTTCGTTGTGCTTCCGTGCAATGACAATAAAGCGGTTTATAATTCTGATTCATTTCACTAATATATATTAATTTACAAAAACATTTAGAGTCTGACACAGTAGACAACGTAGATAAAGTTGAATGACTGCACTTTACTAGGTCTATACAAAGAATAATCAGAGCTTTATCACATTTATACACTGATGAGACACACATCAGAGGCAATAAGGGGTTCAGTGTCTTGCCCAGGGACACTTCAGCATGTGACTGCTGGTGGAATCGAACCCCCAACTCTCGCATTGGAGGACGACTGCTCTAACCACTCAGCCACAGCGACGAAACAGCAGTTGCAGAATTTGCTGTCACCTTTTCCCAACATTATTTTTCTGTGAAACAGTTTAAATATATTTTAATAGCATACAGTTGACATTACATAAATTAAGTCTAATAACTGCACATCTTTTAAGTCAGTCCATTTTTTTTTTCCCTGCTAGGTTTGCTCAACCCTCTGGACAGTCCTCATCACATGCGAATAGACGAAGAGTCAGAATACAGAGAAGGCCGAGTCCTCAACAAGCCCCCCAAACAAGGAAAGGGATCATTGGTCAGCTGTGGTTTGAGGAAGGTGACTAAAACTCCTCTCGATTGTTTGTTTTTAAGTGTTTGTAGGAGAAAATGCTTCACTGTAACCATCTGCCTCTCCAGGATGTCCGGATTGACAAACAGCTGCAGCCGGGTCTACGAGTCACAGTGAAGCTCAGTAAAACACAGAGTCAAGGTAGTTTTCAAGGTTTTGCTTTTGGTTTTTCTCATTGCCTTGAAACGGGTCAGCTCACAGTGTGTCTGTTTAACTCCCTGCAGAAAACAAACTTTACAAAGGGGTTGTTGTGGCTCCTCACGTGCCGAGAACCGAAGGTGGTCTTTACTGGGGTTACACTGTCCGCCTGGCATCCAGTCTCAGTAAGTGTCCTGGGGCCTCATGTACAAAGACTTGTATGGATTTCCTATTGAAACATGGCGTACGCTTAAATCAAGAACCGTACGCACAAATAAATCCAGATGTATGAAACCGTGCGCGCGCATGAATCCAAGCACATTTCCTTTGTACATCCCAATCAATGTGGATTTGAGGGCACATACCTGACTCATCCCATGCTAACCGTTCCACCTCGTCACAGTGTTTGTTAGTTATTTTTGCGCATTGCATATAATTTGCACTTTGACTGAATGAAATGCTTCCTAACATATTCACCCTGTGATGGTACTTTTATTACAATGTGTGTCCAGTTGATGGCACACATTATGATTATTAGGAAAACTGGCTGTTGCTGCAAATTACGCTTTAATGTCGGCCTGTTCAACTTCATCGTAGGGCATTTGATATTCCTGGTTGACATACGGATAATTTCATCCCACACAGCCGGCACGGCTCAGTTCGGCTCAGGGTCAACTGGCACAGTCGGGAGATGGGTCTGTCAGCTCCCTCTGGAATGCTCCTGTTGATAGGAACCCCAGTGTGGTCAGCAGCTGTATGTGCACAGGTTGTGCACGGCTCCTCGCTGTGTCGCACTCCAAGACCAGCTGCAGCTCCAAGCACAGTTCCAAAAGGATTGCACTTGGATGCCTAGAACTGCTGATGAGCCAGTCCGCGTTCTGGGCCAGAAAATGCTCTCCGTCTCTAAATATGCACTTTCAGCGTATTACACCATTTGCTGTATCCTCTAATAAGGCTAAAGCCATTGTTAAAGTATTTTCTGCACCACTTTGTACGTGGGTTGTTATCCACTCATCTAATTGCATACATGTAGATATATCATGTTCATTATGTGTGTCTGGTGTGTACAATAATAGTTTTCACATCATTAACAGTTTCCCAGTATCAACTCTTAGTGTCACCAATGGACCAATAGAAACTTGCTGGCGTGGGGCTGCATACATTTCCACATCATTTCATTCTTGATACATCTGAAGTTTTGAGTGGAAAAGGGCGTACACCATGTTTTTGTGCGTTTGCGCCCTTTGTATATGAGGCCCCTCTTCTCTGTCCCCACTCTGTGTGCGTCATGTCATTTTTACCATTGTTTAATAACTGACTGTGTGACTTGTGTGCTGCGTTCTGTCTGTCCATGCAGGTTCAGTTTTCACACAAAGTCCGCACAAAGGAGGCTACGATTTAACCATCGGCACCTCGGAGAGAGGCACCAACGTGGACCAAGCAACACTCTCACCATTCAAGTAGGTTCAGAGCTCATTAGATAATTAAGTCAACAATTAGGTCAGTTACTCAAGCTTTAAAGCTTTTGTCAACATGCCTGCATGCTAAACTGAGACATTGTCTATATATGAAACATTAGTGATGGCTGACAAAACTTTTTTTTTGTCTGTCTAGACATATGTTGGTGGTTTTTGGAGGTCTTCAGGGTTTGGAAGCCAGCGTAGATGCGGATCTGAACTTGGATGCGACTGATCCTAGTCTTTTATTCGACATGTACCTTAACACGTGTCCCAGTCAGGGCAGCAGGACCATTCGAACAGAGGTGGGAATGTGCACAAAATCTATTTGAATTAGCAGCTCGTCAATAAATAAACTGATGCGCTAAACGTGTTAAAACATATCTGCTCTGCTTAGTTGTGTATTAACCTTTTTTTTTTTTGGTCAACAGGAAGCCATCTTAATTTCCATGGCAGCGCTGAGACAAAAGATCACAGCTGTTTTTCCAGATGTTTCCAGTGGTTTATGAGAGAGCTGGTTATGCTGGAAGTTGAGTCATCTGATTTATGTATCAGACTTTTTATTGTAATGTTTATCATTTTATCTTGTAAAAATGCATTGGTCTGTCTGTTTAAACCAATATTTCATATTTAAATACAGACTTGCATTCACAACTTTTTCCCCCCCTTTCCTTTTTGTTGTTGTTGTTGAGAAATAGAACATAATTCATTTAAAAAAGCACCACACGTCAGTAAACGTCACAGTTTTATATTTCAGGTATCCAAGCAACTATTTCAAACATATCTGCACTGATATAAAGTGGCACATCTTTTCAAAAAGGGTCCAAGATACAGAAGGTACAGGTTTCAGATTGTCAAAGTGCAGCCACATTCCAGCTGCAGTGCATGCTGCATGCATCTACCCCATATTCGTTTCCTGCACCTCTCTTTTGGGTCATCTGTGTGGCTGCCATGCGTCTAAATCTATCCTTCATGTCATACCTTTAAGTTAAATGATGTATATTTGTAGTGGGAGATTTTGTTGCAGTTTCCACCAAAACATTTAAACTGCCACCTTGTACATTTTTAAATGATTAATATGTCATTGATCATTCTCAGTTTTCAAAATCTGCATCTTAGAAAAAGCATTAATGTGACTGTTTCTGGCTCAGGCAATTCAACTGCACCAAGTCTTTTTCTATGCATTACCAACATATTTGACAGAAATGGACTTTAAGGTTGAGAAACAGTTTAATGCAGAAAATAAAGCCTTTCTGGAAAAGAAAAAAACAAAACAGCTGAACTGTTTTAGTATCAGGATGCTTAAGTATAACCTGCTTAAATGCATTCTGTGGACTTTTTTTTATTTTAAACATGCACTGAAATAAAATGGAGGCCTACTAAATTTCTATAGGATCACACATTTAAATGTTACCTTACAAAAATGTATATATATATATATATATATATATATATAATCATGAAGATATTCACATTGAATATCTTCAAGCTGTTATGATGTTGCTTTAAGAGCTGTAAAACGTCGGTATGTTTCTGTAACAAATACACTGTACTGTTATACTCTTAAGGCCCCAGTATGGACTGTTTATAGGCAGGATTTGTACATTTGGCCACAACAGTTTTAAAATAGAGTATTTGGTAAGCCACACACACACATATATATATATATAATATATATATATATTATATATATGTATAATTATAGTTGAGATTAAAAGGTACTTGCTGATATAATTCTTTCAATATGGAAAGTAACTAATCATGATACAAAGTAAAAAATAAATTGAATTCTATTTACAAAAACTTTTGTTTCAGTGCTCATGGTTTGGTTTATGTACAAAGCTTCAGAACTGCGTAACTGCACTTTGATGCTGCTGCTGCAAAAAAAAAACCTTCAGTGAGTCCAACGACTTGTTTACACATGCTCCATTCTTTTGGCAGGTTGAAAATGGCCACTATTCATAATGTAAATATTAAATGAACTCCATCCCATGGTTCTCATCCAGACTTTAGTGGGAGCTCATTCTCACCATGTGGGGTGAGTAAATGTGATGTTGTACAGCTTTGCCCAGCGTCCAAACACTTGTTTCTCTGTAATAAAGCGATGGTGGCTTCCTCTTCGGCTGCTTTCATTCTGGATGTACATGAGACATTCATCAGATCCCCTGGGTTTGTAGTAGTGGTAGGGCATCTTCTTTGATAAAGGTTTTTTCCTAGAAAATTATAGATTTCATTAAGTCACCAGTTTGATCTGGAGTGTATTTTAAAATATGTTCAAGCAATAAACTTACCCGCAGTAATTGGGTGGAACCATCCCATATACTTTAATGTTATCACATATCTCAATGGCTATGACCATTGTGAACCAACCTGTGCTCAACCACGAGTGAGATTTTTGTCTGAAGGAGCGGAAAATAAAAATTAAGCAACATTCACCAACTCTGGTTGTTGTTTACCAGCTTCTTTCAGACTCACCTGTCTCGTCCGGTCTCTTTGTGAAACAGATTATCAAATTTTCTCATCCTGTTGGGTGCGATGCTAAAAAAGGAAACGTTGCTGTAGGTCATGCCGACTCTCTGGATCAATCTGTACAATGTTCCTTTGGCATTCTTCTCGATCTTATTTGGTGGTCCCCAGAAGACGATTGTAAAATTCCTGTCAGTTTGTCGCAGGTACTCGTTCGGCCGTCGGACCACCCTGAAGACGCTGGTGTGGGCTACTACCCTAAGGGTGGTCCGGTTTCCGACATCAGCCTCGTACCCCAGAGTGGGAGCGTCGTTCATACGAATCACACACTCCATACGATCTATCTCCTCTCCTGCCCGACTCGACAGGACGTGGCTGGAGCTGGTCACCAGCGCACAGTTCCCACAGTGCAGAGCCAAACTCTGGGGGAAAGAAGAAATAAATCATTTCATCAATCTGAACTACAATTAGAATAGTTCAGCTGAAATAACCCATCCTCACTGCATGGGTTTTCTCCATTAGAATGTCAGAACACGAGTTAAAAATAAAAAAAGGACTTGCATATCTTAAAGGAATGCCTATCATCTGACACTTTTCATACTGAAGCTTTACCAAGAGTGTCCTACCCTGGTCCTCGAGGGCCACTAACCTGCATGTTTTACTTGTTTCTCTGCTTCAACACACCTGATTCAGTGGCTGAATCATCGCTTTGCGTTCTGCAGAAGCCTGTTAATCACCCATTCATTCAAAAATGGTGTGTTGGAGCGGAGAGGTGTCAAGAACATGTAGGATAGTGACCCCTGAGGACCAGGATTGGACACCCCTGCTTTAGACTAAAATAATCTTATGATGAGAAATGGAGTAGCCTTTTAGTCAAATCTTAAAAAATAATAATTTCATGCGTAATGATCCACCATTGTTACTAAATTGAAAAGAAAATACATTTTTCATCAGTGGACTTCTTTTTGAGAATATCGAGTAGTTTATAGCCTACATTTATTGCATTAACTACTGGAAAAAAAAAAAAAACAACATGATTTCTGCTGCACTGTCTACCTATAAACTAATATTTACTGAAACATCATTTTACTTGTAAAACTCGTAACATATTTTCTTTCACATTCTCTAACAGTACAGTAGTCCCTCGCTACTTCGCTGTTCGTTTATCGCGGACTCGCTCTATTGCGGTTTTTCAAAATAAGATTGGACATGACGCACAATTGGCTGATTGATGGATGAGCCGCACGATCGGCATGACATTTTTATTTAAAATAAATTGTTTTAAATTATTTAGCACCTCCTGGACCTTAGTGCAGCCCATATTGCAGGATAAATTTCTGCTGCAGCTGATCAGCTGTTCATCTGCAGAGTGGGAAAAGTGGGCGTGGCCAAGTGTGCTGGCAGGCAGCAAAGAGCTGAAATCATGACATTCTGTGCTCTTTTAGAGCGTTTAGAGTTTAAAAACTTTGTTTAGAATATTGAAAGAGTGTGGGAAGGGTTTAAAACACCTTAATATATACATATATAATATAAATACTAAAATAAACTACTATTTACTACTTGTACTACTAGTCTTACTTAATGATTTTTCCACTTATAGCAGGGCTTCAGAGTACGGATCCCACGCGATATACGAGGGACTACTGTAATTAGGATGCGTGCATTTCTGCACCAGCAGTTAAAATACACTGTGCAGAAATACACACGGACATATTTCGGACAAAAGACAAACATTTGTGTGGTTCAGCTCACTTTGTTCCCATATACTGGCACAAAGCCATCTTTCCTGGACCACCTCTTGAGGTCTTTAGCTGTGACGGCTTTAGTTGCTGCCACGTGGAAGGGAGTGTAGACTGCTTCATTGCTATTGTTCGAGGTGTAGAAGATGAGGAGGGTCATCAGGATGAAGACGGCAAAGAAGATCACCATCCTATGGCTCTGTTGACCCTGCAGTGTGGACAACGGTGGAAGAAATGTTCAAACAAAACATGGTTTAACACCTTGGGTTGTGTCTCAGGGACTTCTTGCAGCTGTTCCAAATTCCTCACATACAGATTCTATTTTGCTTCTACTGACTTTCATTCTTCCTTTAAGAGCATACCTCCTCTCTAGGCTCTCTTCCACCCCCATCTTGAACCTATCTCTCACTGCTACTGTACACCTCACTATTATCTTGTCCTGTGACCTCATAGAGTAATAAAACCTGAAATATATCTGCTGACATGTGAGGGGCTGCGGTAGCTTGGTGGTCTGTGCTGTGGTCTTGTAATCCTGAGGTTGCAGGTTAAAGCTCAGGTTGCATCAGGAAGGGCATACAGCGTAAAACAATTGCCAAATCTTTTATGCAAGTTTGCTCGCTGTAGCGACATATCTTGGATCTTTTGTCGTACCGTTTAGCGTATATCTTGGTGTGCGTCTTTGATCACTATATACTGTCTCTTTTTACACTTGATATTTTAGCTATTTTTGGGTGTAACTGGGACCCTGTGTACATAATTTTGTTCCGCATCATGTACCACATGTGATGAGAAGGGCAATAAAATTGACTTGAACTTGGAGATGGGAGCAGCCGAAAGACGCTTACTATATATCTGCTGACAAATCCAGTCAGCACTAAGTTTTGGTTTAAAGTATTTGCTGGTTTCTGCGTTTATGAAAATCACTTCACTTGTACTTGACTCAGTTCACACTTTGAGAACTTTTGGTTTAATGCACAAGAGCTACATCTCCCAAATGCATTGCTAAAATTGTATTTTTTTTACACTTATCAGCCTTTTGCTCCCAAGTCTGTGTGTTATGTATAAAACAAATGGAAGATCTGCTCTTTTTTTTTTTTTTTTTCCAGATGAAGGCATTTTTATATTAAAAACATACAAAACAGAGCAAGGACTTGAGCCCAACCTGAGGTAAACATTCAGATCACCTGACTGGAGTCAAAAATCAGTGTAATATTCATAATGAGGAGGAGGAGGGAGGTAAATTAAAGATGTGTTTAGTGCTTTCCTTACCTTGCCATTGAGCCTGAGCCCCATGCTTTCCGATCAGTACCAAACCACAGCCCGTCTATCACCATACCTGTTAGGAGACACACCTGTCATGCTTTGATCTGTATGTTTACCCTCGAGCATGTGACGCTTTAAAGCGGTGAACATACAGCATCTTCTTGCGCGGCCGCTTGCTTTTCGTTTGTTTCTGTTTATTCGCAGTTCTTCACATAAACACCGCACCGATACGTTTCTTGTCATAACTATCTGCTCGCGTGAGCGAAAGTGTAAACGGAGCCCAGGTTTACCTTGTCATGGTGTTGGCTGCGGTCTCGGTTTGATGGCTCCCCATCTGCCTGCGCCACATTCTGACGTCACCGCCGCGTCCCTCGCACTGCAGCACCGGAAGCTCAACTTCCGCTAAGAGTTTGCCTCTCTTTACAGGTTTCAGTTGGCGTAAGAGGTTTATTTTATTTAATTCTCACCAACACAAACCAAAACGACGCCAACGTAGGAGTTATACAGGGAAAAAAACAAGCGAAACAAGCCTGGAGCGCCGTGCTGTGCTCGTTCCGTTACTTACGTCAAGTCTTCTCCATTCACTTACGGACTTTTCAAAATAAAAAACAGGAAACGTCAAAATAAAAGTAATATGTTTGGTCATTTTTTATATATTTTTTATTAATTAAAATTATTTAAAATGCTATTAGTTTTGTTCTGGTTGTTGATTCATTGGAGCAGAAAAGGGCTTTTTTGTGTCATACTCAATTTATGGCATTTGTTTCTATTACAAAATGGAAACACAAAAAAATAAAAATGTACATTAGATTTAAGTTGCAAGCTTTCTTTTGAAGTTGTAGTGTTTGTTGGAAAAACGCAAAATGACAGCAGTTGTAAATAAAACTTAAATGAAAGTTGAGTTACATGGTCTTGAGAAGGAATCCATGTTTTTCTGTCAAAATGTTTCATTTAACCTCAGCTGTTTTCTCAATCACTTTTAGTCCAGTCCTTTTCCCTGATGCCTGTTTTGTACAGTGTGTGCTTAAGAATTTAAGAAAGTGGAGAAAAAAATGATCAGGCTTAAAAAAAACAACTTGTGCTGATAAAACTGTATCTAAAAGTCGTCATAAAACAATTGTCAACTGAACATGATAGCATATGTACTAATGACTACTGTTTTAACTATTAATAAAAATATGGTGAGTTTGCTATTAGCAATTACTTTCTGCAGTAGCCTACATCTAAGGGCCCCACATTGTGACCCCAATTTTGGGAATCACTGATCATACTGTACATCAGGTTTTTAGATTTAGAATTCATTTTGTTGATGTTAAAATACACATATGTGTCAAATGGTTTTTTTAATTTATAAATCTGGCAAAATTGGATCAAATTGTGTCTTTGGTGCCTTAATAGGGTATTTTTGTGAACGCTGACTCAGCTTTCAACCTATTGTTTTCCAGTTTTTTTTTACTTTTCTTGTCTTTTTCCCCTCAATCAAAGTACTTTTCATACTTTGTGATATTTTAGTCATTTATATATCACTATGTTCAGCTTATTCAGACAATAGAAACTATAACTTTTTGTAACTTTTTTACTTGTTTTTGTCTTCTTATAATCTATACTCTTAGGTATATTTCAGCAGCTGTAATTTGTACTGCATTTTCATGGAAAATATAATTTCTCTGTTTAAAATTGATTCTTTCCTAACTTGACTGTTACATTTTAACACATTGATTCATAGCTTAGATTTAGGAGTTTTGTGTCCCTGAATGGTAGGTCAGGAGTTAAAAATCAGGTATTGAACTGAAAATTAAAATTAAAAAAAGCAGCCATGGTTAAAAAAACAACAAAAACAAATAAAGACCACATAAACAAGCTGGAATATCTACATTTCATTTTTAAAATCTAAACCTCCTCAGTGTTCCCCCGAAAGCAGCCTGCTCAGACCTCACGTTAAAACAAATACATTTACATGCCTGGGAAGAACAATAATATTTTATTGCTAATAAATAACTGAAAATGATAAAACAGAAATAACAAGAGAGACCGGTAGTAAAAGCACTACCTACAGTCATGAAATGGGACAGATACACAGAAGTGTCATTAGTATTCAGATGTACATTCAAGTTTTTACATTTGTCAATAAAACAGGAGTACATATATATATATACCGTAAATACAAGGTATAATAATACTTTAGTGCAAATACTGCGTTTTCTAAACGATCACAAAACAAGTGTTCTGTAACTAAAAAGGCAGCTATGATTTTAATTGTATACAGGCAGTGAAATATAAAGGGTGAATAAATTCTAAAGGACTAAATTCAGTTCACTGCAAGTGGTTTTGCTTTAATGTCACTGAGCCAGCGTCAGAACACAGAGCTTCCTGGTTGTCAGTCTTTGTCAACGGTTTGCCTTTTACACTAAACCTTAACAGGAAGTGTGGAGTAGGCATGATTGATATTTTACCACCAACTTAGAGTGCTCCAGAGTTTCTATAATCTCAACCAGCCCATACAATACCTGCTGTCTCCAAAGTAAAGGTGGTTTCGTTTTGCAGCTTTTAATCAGACAGGCAGGATGTAGCTTAAAGTAACGCTTTGAGCAGAATTAGACCCAAGGTCGAGGCACAGGTTCTAAGAACCTAGAAGGCATCACCGCATGTGTTTGGACCTATGTCTAAGAGGCTGTAAACATTATTAAAATCTATCATATGTGGCTAAGCAGAACATAAGGAACATAAATGGACTCGGTCTGGTCAAATCTTTAGCAAATTATATTCTTATTATTATTTCGGCTTTTAACTCTTCAGGGGTCTCCACAGCGAGTCCTCCACCTCCATCTCATTGTCCTCTGCATCCTCTGTCCTCACTTCAACTACCTCCATGTCCTCTCTAACTGCAGATCTTCTCTTTGGCCGTCCTCTGTCTTTTTCCTGGCAGCTGCATTTCCAACATCCTTCTAGCAATATACCCACTGTCCCTCCTCTGGACATGTCCAAATCACTGTCCCTCCTCTGGACATGTCCAAACCATCTCAGTCTGGCCTCTCTAACTTTATCTCCCAGTTGTTCAACCTGTGCTGTAAGGCTGATGATCTCATTCCTGATCTTATCCATCCTTGTCACATCTAAGGAGAACCTCAACATCTTCATTTCTGCCACTTCCAGTTCTTTCTCTTGTCTTTTTGGCAATGCCACTGTCTCTAAACCATACAACACAGCTGGTCTCACCACTGTCTTGTAAACTTTTCCTTTGACCTTTGCTGACACCCTTTTGTCGCAAATCGCTCCTGAAACTTTTCTCCATCCACTCCATCCTGCCTGGACTCTCTTTTTCACCTCTTTACTACACTCCCCATTTTCTTGGACAGTGGACTCCAAGTCCTGAACCTTTGTGACCTCTGCTCCGTGTAACCTCACTGTTCCACCGGCCTCCCTCTCATTCACACACATGTAATCTGTCTTACTACGGCTGACTTTCATTCCTCTTCTTTCAAGTGCATACCTCCACCTCTCCAAATTCTCTTCCACCTGTTCCCCGTTCTCACCACAGATCACGTCATCTGCAAACATCATAGTCCACGGGGATTCCTGCCTGACCTCATCTGTTAGTCTGTCCATCACCAGAGCAAACAAAGGGCTCAGAGCAGATCCTTGATGCACTCCCACCACCACCTTGAAGTTATCTGTCACTCCTACAGTGCATCTCACCACTGTCCTGCTGTCCTCACACGTCCTGCTGTCCTCATATATGTCCTGTACCAGTCTAACATACTTCTCTGCCACTATTTCCTCATGCAATACCACACCTCCTCCATCAGCACCCTGTCATATGCTTTTTCTAAATCCACGAAGACACAATGGAGTTCTTTCTGACCCTCTCTTTACTTCTCCATCAGCATCCTCAAAGCAAAGATGGCATCTGTGGTGCTCTTTCTTGGCATGAAACCATACTGCTGCTCACAGATAGTCACCTCTCGTCTTTAACTAATTAAATTGAAACCAGTAAATACAGCTTAACATTTTAGAAAAACGATTGCCTTGAGGTTTAAGATCTTCTTTTTCAGAAGCTCCAAGATGGATGTTTAAAGTTTATTTTGTGGCGTTTTGCCCATTTGGCATAGATGGCCTTCTCCGTGATGAAGCGGTGTCCTCCACGTTGCGTGCGCTCGTGGAAGTTGTACATTTTGCACTCGTTTATTCGGTTTTTCTCGTAGTAATGGTAGGGGACATCACTGCGACTGTCTCGACTGTCAGGAGGAGAAAAGAAACTAGATTTATGCCAGATTCATATATGTTAAAAAGCAGAGACTACAAGTCTCACCTGCAGTAGCTGCTGTTGATCATTCCATAAACATTAATGCTGTCACACATATCCAAAGCCAGGATCATTGTGAAAAATCCCGTGCTGAGAAACGCCCCCGTTTTCATCCTGAAAACAAGACAAATGTTCCGCTGAAATAAATGAAACGTTCTTAAATCAAATCCTAAAACTAGCACTGGTTACGATTCCTGCATCAGATTGCTCAATTATCTGCAATCTACTTGAATCTGTAAACCTGTAGATCTAATTATTTCTACATTTATAAAGCCGATACACATTTTTAGCCTGTTGTTTCTATTTTTCTAAAGTTTTGTTGTAGTTCTCCATCACCACTCAAGACTGTCTCAGAACAAGGTCATTTCACTGCAGACATTTATCTCCTAAAGGAAGACTGTCGCTATTTTCAAGGTTATAAATAATTAACATCTTATCCATTGTAAATAGCTTCTTTAACATCCTCAACTCGAGGCTCAGTGGGATTAACCTGTCTAAATAAAGGTTGAATGAAAACTTGGCAAAATAAAGTTTATGTACAACAAGATTGATAAGCTAATAGTTCAACTGCAGTATTGCTAGAATGGCTCTAATTTCCTAAATATATGCATACACCGTTATTAAACCTTTACACCGTGACAGTTTGACACTAAATTGTCATTTAGATGAAATTCTTTGATTATTTGCAGCAGCAACTTGTAGCATTTCTGAGGCATCTGAGCATCACGCCCAGTAGGAATTTATCTAACTTTCTGCAGAAAACAAGAACATATAATGCAAAACTGATGGCCGTGTATGCTTTTATGTAAATAAGTGTTCAAAGGAACTGCTTTGACTGTTTCAATAACTGGAGCCGTTTTAAGTTGGCGGTAATCCCCCTTTGGAAATGGGTCCATTCAAACTAGCCGAACGTAGCTCAACATTAAGTTCCAAATAGACCTACTTCCAAAGGGGATCGTTACCGTCTTAAAACAGCTCCAATGTTCACATTTTATAGAGCTTCATGAAAGGGAAATGTTTACACCTAATTATATGTAATTATTTAATGATGATGATCACCACTACACCATGATGGTGTGTAGGCAGGGGCCAGGACCTTTTTTTTTTTTAATTGAAGGTACAGCCCCAAATACTTATTGCACAGACTCAAGTTTCAAAAACAAATAATGGATGCACTTGTAAATGGGATAAAGGATTTTGGCTTGACTTTTGTGCAGTGGAAGTAAATGGAGATTCATTGTCCATCTTTATTTACTGTCTATAAGAAGGTTGAGGGCTTACAGGCTGAAAAGTAATTACTGATCAAGAGCATACCATGGAAATGAAATAATTGTAAGAAAAGAGTGCCTTGGAGTTACATTTCTTTTTTTTATTTTTGAGAAGTTGTGATGCCATCCTCTTAAAAATGGGACGGCCACCTGTTCTTCGCTCATGTTATGCTGCTGGATCCTCATTACCACCACTATATTGATTTTAGGTTCTGGATCATACAGATTAATCTCAAAGTAAAGTTGGGTTCCTATCGGCTTTTTAACATAGATAAGGTGTGTTATGCCGCACCTTCAAGTTGGTTCAGCTCTTTACCTGCACCTAAAACATCATTTAACACTATTAGTTAAATCAAATGAGCCAACACACCTGAACCCTACCTGTTTTTTCCAGTTTCATTCTGAAACACACCATCACAGTACTGAATCTTGTCTCTGGTCACAGCATACAATCTGATGTTTGGATACTTTGTGGCCATCCTCAAGAGGACATTGAAGACCTGTCCCTTCCCATCCTGCCTCATGTTCCTCTCAGGACCCCAGAACACATACGTGGTGTTTGCCAGCTGCTGAAAATAACGCCGCTCATTTTTTACCAACAGGGGAACACTGGTGTGAGACACGACTCGGACGCTGGTGTGGCTCCCAACGTCTTCCTCATATCCTGTCGTGGGCGCGTTGTTCATCCGGATCACACATCCAATTCTGTCTATCTCCTCTCCAGCACCAGCACCGAGCATCTGACCAGAGCTGGAGACCAAGGCACACTGGTTGCAGTGGATGTCCAGAAGCTGTTGGGAAAAGATGTCAATATTTTAGGTTCAGCTCATTTATGTTGCAAGAATGCTTCAACCTGTGTCCTCTCATGAAGTTATAGACTAATTTGAAGTCACAGCAAGAAAGAATAAACTGCTCATAAAAAATCAAACAGTGACACCTTCTCTGGATTTTAAGTATTGCAAACAATAACATTTCAAGTCAAATTAACACTAATGCAGGCTCCAGCTCCAGCTCTGGGTGCCCTCACCTGGCCCTTCCCACCGGGACTGATCCTCATGTAGCCCCTGAGCCCTGAGCTGTGGGCAGCAGCAGGTGATGCACCGTCCCGTGTGATCACGACACCGAACCACAACAGCAGGAGGAGGCTCAGGATGAGCAAGCAGAGCCAGCGGCGGAAAATCTGCGATTTGGAGTTCAAGGGTGCACATCTCGTCTTGCATCCGTCCAGTACATCTGAACACATGGCGCACTGAATATATTCAGGTTGTTCTCACAACGTCGTCCATGTCGAGGCCTGTAAAGCCCTGCTCCTTGTCAAGAGTCCAAGATGCTCATTTGGTGAGGTAGAGAAAACCAGATTGCAGTTTCATGTAGCTAGTTAGCTAGGCTAACTCTCAGACCCAGCATCCTTCTTCATTCATCCTAACTTTGTTATCATTATGGTACGCAGAATGTCAAATAATTCTTCAATTAGTTTACATCCACTACTCCGTTAGATGCCCGCTACCACTTATCATAGCCTAAAATATCGTATAAACACAACTATGCTTGTAAGTTTTACAATGTTTCTCTATGCGGCCCAAACAATATCCGGTTTACGCTTTCGCAATAAAAGTTGTCATCAAAATATATAACTGCAAGTTAACAAATATCCATATAGTAAACGTAATACCATTATATTTACACTATATTTATCTCAGAGGGGTCGCATAAAACTAAAATAAATACTTATTAAACTTATGCGTTCTTGTGATGTATGTTGGAAAATAATACGCTTTTGTTTTGAAAAGCGCGCCCGGTATGCATATCCGTCACTGTTGCCTTCAGGAACATGTCGAACCGGTGGGAAACAAATTATGTGCTTCTATGTGTTGTCATATCGTGTTGCATGGTTATTAAGCATTATTGCACTATTGTTTTCCTGTTTCTCTTTATTGTTTCAATGCTTATTCAGCCTTCACACAATTGATTCTAGTGATTCCGTTCTAGTGACTAGTGATTCTGTTCTCTTTATTATTATTATTATTATTATTATTATTATTATTATTATTATTAGTAGTAGTAGTAGTAGTAGTAGTAGTAGTAGTAGTAGTAGTAGTAGTTTTATTATTATACAATCAACATCAGAATCGAAAACTTAATGGGGCTGGGGCATATTGTACAAATCCAGGGCAATACATTAAAGTACAAATGTGTGTTGTTGTTGTTGTTTTTTTGTTTGTTTGTTTGTTTGTTTTAAACGTCAACTTAAATACATTTTTTGACTACACAAAACATAAAGACTTATAAAACAAATTTAACTCATTCTTCCATTGTATAAAGTTAGGGAGTAGTAGTACTAGTGTGCATGGAAAATGCACATTATTGTGATTCTGTTTCTCTTACTTTATTATTATTAATATTATTACTTTTTCCGTTGATTTTTGCAACTAAACTAATGCTGCATACTTTGTTCTACTAAAGCTTTGGCTTTGGCAGTGCATGTGTAATTGGCTTTACACACGCAAAAAGGGGACCATCCGTCCAAAACAAACAATCATTAGTGCATTACAATGAAATGTTTTAGGCCTGATGGCCAACTTGGTACTCACAGAAACAGTTTGAGGACAATCTGGCCAAAATGGTTCAGAAAAATCATCATGAATCAAAATCATGAATGTCTATGCACTGATTGGTTTTCAGTAGTCTTTGACCCGCCTTATTTTTTATTCTATTGGCTAGAAAACAAGAATCCACTAATCTCTACTCCTGATTGGCTCATGGCCATGTCAGTGTTCTCTTTCAGCGAAGCCCCGCCCCAACGTAAATCCTGCGTCGCTCTCAGTGACGGTGTCACAGGGATGTCCTCTGACGTATCGGATGCTCACGGTATGTAGCTTGTGCTGAGGGATTATCTTATTAGTTGTTGGCCAGGTGAGGTGTACGTGGAGTAGTTGGTGAAGTCCGTGACGTGTCGGCCAGTGTAAAGCTCTACACTCGTTGTTGGCTGACTCTAATGTGAACTCAACGCTCAGCTAAATGAGCTAGCCATCGTTAGCATTGGGCTCGTCAGGAATGTCTGTTGTCCTGCTGTTGTTGATTTCGGCCTGTATTTAACACGAGTTTCAAATTCAGAGCTCAGTCTTTGCTATGAACTTTACGTTAAAGTTTAAATAATAGGACCAGGGTTGATGTCATGTGCGAGCTTTAAGTCTAGCTGCCTTTTCACCTTATAGTCAAGCCTTTCACAACATGGAAAACAGTAGAAAGTGCTCCAGCCAGTTTCTGTGAGCTTGCAGTACAACCAGTCACTGCAGGTTGTTCCACTGTCTTCATGTCAGACTGTGTTGAAACCAGATAAGTACAGTAGGTGTCTGCATGTCAAGTTGCTCTGCAGCTTAACTGTTAACGTGAGCTCCATTTCCACAGGTCAGGTCATTACAACAATATGCCATTGTGTCTGCTAAATCATGGGAAATCAAAGCTGTAGAGACTTTTCTGTTTAGTGATACCATTCTCACATTCATATACTGCTTTAGACAGTTTTACATGGGGTGGCATGGGAGAAAATGTGGACCTTCATATACTAACTCTTAGCTCCTAATACAAATAGATATATTTAATAAAATGTCAGTAAATAAGCAGTGACAGTGTTCATTGTCATGCCGTGAACACATCAACTTCATAAGGATTGATTAATCTGTCACGAAGCCATACACGTCTTATTTCTTATCAGCTTTTTTCTTACCAGACCCTGTGTACATAATTTCACTCCATCACATGTATGACATGAGGTGCGAATGACAGAATCTCTGACTGACTCTGACTTTTGCCTCATCAGGTGACACAAGCGCCTTGTTTTTAGACAGTTTAAAATAACAGTTGTATTCTTATGCATAATGTTCTTGCATAACCTGTGTACAGAACTTCAGCCATAGCAGTTTTACAAAGTTTTACTTTGGTAAATGCTTGAGCAGCCTCAGCTTTAGTTATTTTGTCTACATTTTGATTAGAAAGTCTTACCTGCTAATGTCAGTCAGATTTTAAAAGATGGGCTTGGCTATTTCTGGCTACTTCTTTAAAACTCAAAATATACCGTTGCCAATCGTTACACCATGTAAGTCAGCAGGAATACGGTGCTATGGTTAAACAATTTTTAACTGTCTTGTCTGTTGTAGGGTCCATTGTCAATTGCCGTACAAGTTAAGGAGTGGATGTCAGCAGGAAGTTAGTGAGCACTGGCTCATCTGAGAACACAGAGGAAACCTCATTTTGGGTGAATGTGAGGGAGTTTTGGAGCGCTGTGGCCTGGAGACTTTTCAGTTCTTGAAATGTCAATGAAACGAGCAGACGGGATGTCCATTGCCCAAGCTTTGGCCATGACTGTCGCAGAGATCCCCGTCTTTCTCTACTCCACGTTTGGGCAGGTAATACCATGTAACTCTTTAATAAAACCCAGTATGAATGGTTACAATTAGTCAGATTGAAATGTTTTTTTTTCTAACAAAAGCTCATATTTGATTAGTCTTTATTGTTTTCGCTTCAGTCCATATTTTCTCAGCTGAAGCTTTCTCCAAGCCTGAAGAAGGTCCTGTTTGCCACAGCACTTGGAAGTGTTGCTCTAGCTCTCACTGCTCATCAGCTGAAAAGACGAGGGAGAAAAAGGAAGCAGAAAACGCAAACAAAGGAAGGGCAGAGGATAGTAGGAATACCTGAGATGCTCTTGAAGACAGGAAGACCTTCATCATTAAAGAAAGGTGCAAAAACTAATCCTAGATTTGTTGAAATCGAGGTATGGAGCACTGTTTAGATTGACCTTTCTCCCTGTTTGTTTGTGTCAGGTCCGTTCACCGGTCGACAGATGATGAGCCCCGGATCTCGGAGCAATGACACCATGAGTGGAATTTCCTCCCTGGCTCCCAGTAAACACTCAAGTTCCTCACACAGCCTGGCATCTGTTAGTTTCTTGCTTTACTTTTTTTATTTATTTAAGTCTTCCACTTCTCCTCAGTTGTATCCTACATGTGTGTATCTGTGCTTATGTTTCTGGTACAGACGCGAGTCCCAAACTCCCCAAATCAATCTGTGAATCCCTCCATCCAGTGGGAGGCAGAGCCTGTGGTGGAAGAATCAGGGGCGGTAGAAGATGCCAATGCAGAAAACTTATATTTAATGGGTGTGTTGTTTTTTGTTTTCAAGGATCTTTAAAGCTAATATGTATCTTTAGTACATTTATTGATTAGGACAATTTACAAAACACATTTGTCTTTTCGGATACCATGTTTAAATAATTAAAACAAATGTTTCAGATGAGTTTTTTATGCTTATTTAAGTCAGATACTTTTGTAATCATTTGCAGTGACAATATATCAGGGTTTTTTTTTTAATGACAAAACAAAAAGTACTATTTCTAGTTGTGACGCCATTAGATGATTATCTACCTTCATATTGGTCAGGAAAAAAATAACTATTAACACCCACTGAAATCATGTTGCCTCAGTTTTAATTATCAGTGATGGAAAAATGAAATTTGGGTGGAAATGATGTTCATCCTGTTTAGTAGTGCCGTTTGTCCAAACAAAAATATCAGTTTTGGAGGCAACAACGACCTGTCACCTTAGTCTGTAATTCCTGAAATTGTGGGTTTTTTGTTGCAAATTTTCAGAGAATTGATTTTTCTCAAATGCCCGCTCATACTTTCTGGGGTCTCCACAATACCTTTATTATTCAGAAGGCCCTTTTTTGTATAACTTTGTATATTTCTGAAGCACATGGTCTCAACATTTTTCAAAAGCACTGTTTTAGCCCCCCACCCCCCCCCACCCCCCCCCCACACACACTTTAAGAAACCCCTCTTGAAAGGTCCACTTTCCTATAATTTATTATGAAGTACTAGATAGTTGTGCATTCTCTGTTTGAACTGCGTCAGACTTGTCAACATTAATATGCTTCATGCTGTTACAGCTGCATCAAGTCATATTCCTCTTTTCCTTCTAGGAATGGAGCTGTTTGAAGAAGCGCTGCAAAAGTGGGAGCAAGCCCTACATATTCGTCACCCGAGCCACCCAGCCTCCTCTAACAACAGCCTGGCTCTGCAGGGGGCAGCGTGCGGAGACGCACCCTTGGTAACAGCTTTACTTAGCAAACCTTTAATGTTTTGGTTTGTTCATAGGTGACATTGACATGGCAGAAGAGTGGTTAGGGCTTCACAGCAAGAAGGTCACAGGTTTGCCTCCTGACCTGGGCATACCTGTGTGGAGTTTGTGCGTTCTCCCAGTGTATGCGTGGAAAGGAGGGATGCATGGATGGCGTTTAGTAATTTATTAAATCATAGATGGATGGGTCGTTTTATCTTTTGGTTCCAGGTTGAAACCCATAATAAAGCATTTGCTGAGAAATTGGAGACATTATTGCACCGGGCGTACCACCTCCAAGAAGATTTTGGTAGCAGTATCCCAACAGAGAGTCTGCTGGCAGACTTTGGTAAGAGTCAGCTGGAACTTTATGGTAAAAACTGTATATATATATATATATATATATATATATATATAAAAAACACACAACAAATATAAAACTAAATAAAGAAAAAAAAGTAGAATTAAAAGTAAAGAGACAATTTGAAGGCTTATCCATAGTTTAGTTCTTCATCAGCACATTTAGTTTTTTTTTTGTTTTGTTTTTAATAGAGAGCGAAGGAACGCTTATCTTGCCTCAAGTGGAGAGTTTCTATGCACTGCAATATGAAGATGCAACTTCTTTTACCTCTGATGACTCCTTTTTCTCAGCTGCAGAAGTGAGTTTTTTTTCTTTGCCAACATGTGTCTGTAAGTCTGTAAAACCAGAAAAGATATAAATATTGGCTGCTTTTTCATACATACATCTGTTTTGTCTCTGCAGCTGCTTGATAACATGACTCTAGGGGAGGTCTATCCACCACTGAAGCCAGCAGCTCTGTATGAAGAAGCTTTGACTCTGGTCCAAGCAGACAAAGTCAACTATAGGACCCTGAGGTATCTGTAATATCAAATGCAAGTTTATTTTTTAATCAGTGTAATAAATCTGGTCAGAGGATCCAGATGCAGGGACAACTTAACAGAATCTTTATCAGGCTCTGCAGCACCCCTCAGAGAAGTTAGCCAAACACTAGTCTCAAAATAGGTTTTGTATTATTGTGCCTGTTTGAATAAAAGACAAGTGTTTTTTGTTAAGTTTGCTATTTCAAAATTCAAATTATGTTTTGAAAGCATCCTGCTGCCTAACATTTGGCAGGGAAATAAAATGACTTACTTCAAATGCACAGTAGTCCCTCGCTATGTCGCGGTTTGACTTTCGCGTTTTTTTTTAAAGATTGGACATGATGCTCAATTGGCTGACTGATGGATGAGCTGCATGAGCAACATGGATGGTTTATTTAAAATATATATTTTTAAAGATTTAGCACCTGCTGCACCTGTGTGCAGCCCACAGATGCAGGGAGAAGCTTCCTCCTGCAGCACGTCACAATCTCCTCTCTCTGCCACGCCCACTTCTCCGCTGCAATCACACTCATCACCTGCTCCCAGTCTCCCTCCTTCTGTGTAAATAAACAGTTTAAATTTAAATACTGAAATATTTTAAATAAACAATCCCTACTGCATGGATTGTATATTAAAAATGTATTCATTTAAAATTTATTTTTGTAAATGTCTGTTTTTTCCAGAGAATTTCCACTTTCATGCACACATTTCTGCATCTTTCAGCCTAATTGGGCACAAGTGTGCTCTCTTCACCTTCTTCTGGTAATTTAGGATTCTTTCTGCCCTTTCGGCTACTTTTCAGCTATTTCTTGCTAATTTAAGCTTTTCTTTAGCCAATTTACTAAATTTTCTGCTCATTTCTGCTTATTTAAACCCAATTCAGCAAATATATGTTCTTTCTGCTTCTTCTGCTAACTTAGGCTTGGTCTTCCATTTCAGCTACATTTCAGTGTGTTTTTAGTTATTTTAAGCAGTTTTTCAGACAGTTCTTCAGCAGTAAGTATTTTTGCAGGGAATGCAATTTCTCTCGTTAAAAGTTTAAATCCTAAAAATGTCCATTTCTCCTCCGTGCTACAGCAGCTTTGTGAAGGGTTAACCCTTTGCTGTCCAGATGCACTGATCGACTTCTGTCTTCCCACTTAAAATTCAAAGTATGTCACATCGTAAAATCTTCATAATCACAAAATATAAAAGTGTTAAGTTATTTTTAATTATTTTAGAACTTCTGTGTTCAGTTGTTACAGTGTAATTGACCAAGAAGTACATTTCTGCTCCATGCAGAGCTGCGTGAAGGGGTAACCCTTTGATGTCCTGCTGCGCTTCTCTTCTCTACAATTTAAATTTAAATACTGTAATATTTTAAATAAACAATCCATGCTGCATGGATTGTTTGATTGGGAGGTGATGAGTGTGATTGCAGCGGAGAAGTGGGCGTGACAGAGAGCTGCAGGTGGCAGAGAGTGAAGATCATGACATGCTCATGCTCTCTTTTAGAGCGTTCAGAGTTTAGAAACATTGTTTCGAATATTGCAGGTGTCTGGGAAGGGTTTATAAAGACTATATATATATATATATATATATATATATATATATATAT